GTGGGACGCGCACCAGACGTACAGGTACGAGGCCTCCGACGCGTGCTACTTCCGGAACGTGACCAGCCATGGCAACGACGTGGTGTCCGACCACTCCGACGAGGCCTGCGTGAAGGGATCACCCGCCGGTGGCATTGCGGACCGGGCGGTGGCTGCAGGAGCGCCGCAGCTGAGCTCCTCCTAGGTCTGGAGCTGACTGTCCAGAGATGGTTCTCCTTTTGGTGCTTGACTGAATCACTGAAAGAGCTAGCTACGGAACGTATATGTGTGTAAAGTGATGAAAAAAAAGACAATCATAAAATGTATACATTGGAATAAGAGATACGGCCTATTTGTAATGTCCTAGTATACTGCTACCCGAGCTGGCCTATATAAACTAAATACATACTGAAGTCACGCAGGGATATTTTTTTCTCAAGGGCACCTAATCTCATACAGTGCGTTCTTATAGATACACACGATGATGTGTGCACAACATAAGAGTATTGTCTTTCTCCTCCTATGTACGTATCTCTACGCGTATCTAATCTTCTATAACTAAATAGAAGATCCCCACTAGCTTATTTTCGTACATTCTCCTTAAGCCACGTCCCCCGCACCCAATCATCGTTCCTTCTTGCGCACTAATCAAACAACCGTATTGCGTCAATCGATTCGTCTACCACAATGCACCACCGAATCCTCGATCACAACAAATTAATGCACCTAAAAGGAACTGCCACTGCAAATGCACGCATGCAGAAGAAAACGAACGGTCGCCGCTGCAGTCGCGTTTAAATAACTCCGCTCCTCCTCGGCCATGGCCTGCCCCGCTCGGCAGCGCCGCACCACCTCTGCTAGGCTTCTCCTAGCTCAGCCATCGCGTCGTCCCCAACACGATATTGCGCTCCACCTTAGCCGTCCCGTGGCTCCTGCGCCGTGCCTAGGATCACCCGGCAACGCAAGGAGAAGATGACGTTCGGGGCTCAACCTGTTCGCCGATGCGGTGCCTGCAGAGCTTCGCCGTGCCCGCCTTCCCTCGCTGGCGGCGTCCCTAACCGGCGACCATTCACCTATGGTCTGATCTCGACGGAGTAATCTTGGCCCCGTGCTGTCGGCAACGACAACCACCCACGCACGCGACGAGGGTGACTTTCGTCTGGAACCGGAAGGGGAAGAACGGAGGAAGGAGATATGCCGCGCTCGCGCTGGAGTCACAACTCCGAAGGATACGAGAGGGGAAGACGAATGAGTGGATGAGAGGCCATCTACGCTTGATGGGCTGAATTTTTTTTTCCATTTTTTTGACAGGGGCGGAAAGGTTTTCCCTTTTACGAGAGATGGAAGATATTTTTGAAAACAGAACTTCTGGTGGGTCACCCACTGATACCCGATCTGTTATAGGAGTATCTATTTATGTGTGCGCTTTTTTTTTTCAAAAACTTAAACTACGGTCTCCAAACCAATACAGTACATGAGAAACAGCACTACTGCAGAATGTGCATATACATGTATTTTCTTTGTCAATATATGGATTTGATTGGCAGGCATTTTGTTAGGTTTTACTGAAGATGGATCATTGTTTTCCTATAATACTTTTAGCTAAAATCATGAAGAAATAAGATTAAAAAATCATGAAGAAATAAATTAATATTCCTCTATCTGTGCTTTGTGCTCATGTGCAATACCACAAAATCCCTGCAGCAACGCGCGGGGTATCATCTAGTGGTACACAACAGGAGAGCACATAACCTCAAGAGCAAGTAAAATAAAGCTTCTGAAAAAGTTATTGTGAACTGTGAAAAAACTACTGTAGTTTGTGGGATGTGAGAAATCTGAAAGTCGTTTGGTTCAACAGATGTGGGTTGTGAAAAAGTTGTTGTCCGCAGCCCCACACGTCATTCATGCAGGAGGGTAATTTTTGCGAAAAAGTTGATTCCTCAACCGGTAGAAGCAAGTCCCTAGCTGCTGCGAAAAAATGTACTAGAGAAAAACTGGTTCCTTTGGTTAGATTTTGGCTTTTCCAATAGCCAAAGCAGGTTTAGAAGCCAAACAAAGGGACCCTAAGCTTTATGCTTAGGTAAAGGAGACAGAGGAGAGAGAAGATTAGTGGACTGTAAGTTTATGAGTCATAAATGAGTCAACTACTATATAGTAAGTTGAAAGTACGTTGTAAATTTAAATACAGCCATCAAAGAGCTGTATTTTTTTTTTTTTGAAATTGTAGGGCTTTTCATTACCCATGAGTCTCAGCTAAGTCGCTGGACACCAACACCCCAACCTCCTGGGGCACTACATCCCAAGTGAGAACAGATTCACTGGGATTTTTACACCCTATGGAAGCAAGCATATGCGCTACCTTATTACAAGCACGTTGGCATACATTAATCCAGCTAAACAAAAATTCAGAGGAAAGCAAATGGTTAATTTCAGTAACAATTCCACCCATAGCCGACAGCCTGTATTCACCACCTTCCACTGCCTCTTTCACCAGGGTTGCGTCAGTTTCTATGTACAGCCTTGAGATGCCCAGGCTGGCCACCATTCTCAGCCCTGCTTGGACGCCCAGGAGCTCTGCATGAAAAGCATCAAGGACACAGGTTTCTTTTCTTGCCGCAGCCTTGATCACGCCTCCATTCTCATCTCTAATGACAAAGCCCCATCCCCCCGTCTTCTCTTCACTGTAAAAAGATCCATCAGAGTTGAGTTTGAGGGCTCCTACTGGTGGCTTGCTCCATTTCCTTCTCTGAACATTTTCCGACAACGGCTTATCCGGTCTCGTTTTCAGAAAAGCATCAGCCTGAAAGGCGGTGATGTATGCTATTTCTGGGAATATTATTAGGGGTGCTAGGCTTTCCTCCCTCCTCCCTCCTCCCTCCTCCACTAGATAGGATCACAGGGCACAGAGCTAGCTAATGACGCTATTTGTACTTTGATTTCGTTTTTTCCTTTCACATAAATCTCTAATATTATCTTAGTATGATTAAGAATTAGGTTTTCTATTATGTTTTCCTATTTTCCTCTCGTCGTGCCTATGGACCCAGAGCTCAGGCAGACTATTTGTTTGTTTTATTGAAATCATGGGTATTCCGAGGAATACGCAGAGTATTTTGTCATGGACGCGGTTACGGCGCGACCCGTCGCGCGTAAAGGTGCGCGCGACCCCCGGACAGCGACCTTGCGCGCGACCTCAGGACGACCCCACGCGCAACCCACTTCGACATGCAACAGGCTGCATGCGCCCTCGACCAACACTGCTGCCTGCCTGCCACTTTCAGCGTGTGGTCCCAGGTGGCTGACGCAAACAAAAAAACGATACAATTTCTTTTGAATTGCTATAACTTTTGAATATTGTATCCGTTTTCAATTTCATCTACACCGGTCTATGTGATGAGACAAAAAAAACTAGACCCCACTTGCATATATTCCGAAAAATTTATTTTAGTAGCAATTTATATATAAAAATGTGCTAGAGATTTATCAAGAAGTTACTACTATATAATACTAAAGTTGCTGCTCTAAAAATATACTAAAGTTTTTATATAGTATGCACATGGATTGCTATCATGAGAATATAATGAAATTGTTATATAATATTTACATAAAGGTACTAGCCCTATATTATAGTATTTTAAGAGCAAATTACATGGATCGAGTTGACAGTTAGTGTTTGTTACAACTTATATATTGCAAAACAAATAATAATTAATGTAAAAACAATGTAAACTAGCTACCAACTAGGACTAAATATTTGAAAACAAGAGTAGCGGCCCAAAACAAGACAACCTGCAAACTCAAGAGGGGGGCAAATTATTAAAACAAAAATTGCATAAGCTGCCAACTGGGGCAGCAAGTTATTATACAATCCATTGCAAAAGCCAAGAAATCAATATAGAAGAACAGCTAATATGCATGATTTAGGAAGGCATTTGAACTTGAAAGGGAAATTGAACCACTAAAATAGCTACTAGAAACTGAAACTGAAACTAAAATTGATAACCAGATAATTAAACTGAAACTGACAAACATAACAGAAAATAAAAACTAAAGTAGACACAATAAAAAAGCAAAAAACTAAAATTTAAATTACCGGAAACTTAAACTGAAATTGACAACTAGAAAAATAAATTGAATTGATAAGTAGAAAATGAAAACTAATATAGACACGATAAAAAACAAAATACTGAAACTAAAATTGACAACCGGAAAATAAAACTAAAATTGACAAATAAAAAAGGAAAACTGAAGTGGACGCAATGAAAACAAATACTAAAACCTTAAAATACTAAAAATGAAATTGACAACAAGAAAAAAAAACTGAAATTAAAAATGGGACCAAAAGGATGACAAAAACTAAAAAATGAAAATCATAACTCGTTAAACTGAAACAAAAGCTGAACAAATCAAACGCATAACTCATAAAACTGAAACTAAAAGAAAACTACAAGTTGCATGACCTTGTGTGTGACAAGTTAAATTTCAATGTATGTAGCAAGTTATATTTTGAGCAAGTGACAAGTTATTTTCATTACCAATATATAAAATGCATAAGTAGCTACTATTCATACAACACAAGTTAACACTATATAAAATAAAATCCAAAATATATTCATTATGGGTCTAGTTTCATAGCTCTCCTCATAAAAACCACGAAGGTGCAAATAAAACTAAAAACAGAAGAAAGCTATTGTATTTTTAAAAGGAAGAAAGCCAAATAAATACGCTTAGAAAAGCAAGGAGATCCCCTGAACCGCTGCATGCATGGCGCTAGACAAACAAGGCCACGTGTGTATGTTCCCGCAGGTAGGCCAGGCCCATGTACGGGTCACTCAAAGGCAGGCCAGGCCGTGTGGGCGAGGTCGCGCGCTTGCGCAGGAGCGCGACATGTTGCTAGTTAAAGTTTGCGTTTGTCATTGGAGAAAGAAAAATTCATGTGTCGCACGTTCGGCCTTTCTTTGAAGATGCAGCCCAAGTAAATCGGGCCCATATATATGACCTAGGCCAGGAGGGTCGGGCAACCTTCAGTTCCGGACGAGCCCAGCCTCGTCCGCTGCGGACGCCGCCCGTAGCGCCGCCGTCACGCCGCCAACTCCGGCAGGGGCCCCGCCCTTGGCGCACACCTCATTAGACTGGTCCGACGCGATGCTGTAACCGCTGCTGGTCACGTTCCTGAAGTAGCACCCGTCGGCGGCCTCGTACCTGTACGTCTGCCGCGTGCCCCACGACACTCCGTTCCCGCGTCGCCGCTCCACCTCTTCCACGACGCTGCTCTGCGTGGTGCGCAGCGACCGGTACCGGGGCCCCGACGACCACCGACCGGCGGACACCGTCGTCACGTCCAGCCCGTGCGTCACGGTCACGCGATCCGTCTCGGAGTCCAGGTAGAGCGGGAAGTCCTGGCGCGCCCAAACCGCGTAGTACACGACGCCGGTGCGGCGGTCCGTGGCGAAGATGCCGTCATGCGTGACGGTGGTCTGGTTCACCGTCTCCGCGGTGCCGTCGCTGATGGCGTTGGTGTTGTCGAACGTGAACGTCCGCGTGGCGTTCGTCGTGAGGTTCCCGTGCGACGACCTCACCCATCCGGTCGCCGAGATTTGGCGGCTCGCCGTCGTGTGGTACGTCGTGTCGCCGCCGGACTGCACTGACGTCGTCGTGTTCACCACTAACTCCGGCGCGACGTAGGCGATGAGGCCTGCCGTCGTGGCCGCGCTCCCGGGGTCCAGCCAGAGGTGGAGGTTGGCGTCGACGTACCACATGTCCAGCGCGTTGGTCACCGCGAACCCGAACTCGTGCGCCTTGCCGTCCAACAGCTTGCCCAGCAAAGGCGTCAGCTCGATGTCGTAGGTCGGGAGGTTGAACGAGCCGATGGCGGTGATGGGCCGCCATAGGAGGGGGTAGATGCCGCCGGTGTATATGACAGGGAACGGCCACGCGGCGCCAGCTAGAACCCCGTCGACGCGAACGGTGACCTCGCGGAATGGGCCGTTGGCGGCGCCTGGTGTGTTCGTGTACCAGAACTCGTCGTCCCCGTGGGACGAGGCGTAGACTTCAAGAACCGCGCGGTAGGCGTTCGGTGGCAAGGTGACGCTCGTGGACTGGACGTCAGTGGCGTTCTGCACCTGGTACCACAGCCCGTCGTTCAGAGGCAGGCCTCTCGACATGGGGACGATGACGTCGGCGGGCGCCGTGGCCGGCGGCGGCGGCGTCCTCGTAGGCGCGCGCCGGAAGTAGAGGTGGAGCGTCACGTTGGCGTAGTACACGCCGGTGTACTGGCTGTTGACGAGGTTCCCGAGGTAAACGGCGAGGGTGGAGTTGCCGGCGGCGAGGAGGGACGCGTACTTGGTGATGTCCTTGGAGACGGACCAGACGATGCCGTTCGGCCGCGGCTCGGCGGTGCAGCTGCGAAGCAGCTCGGCGCCGCCGAGCCAGACGCCGAAGATCCTGTCGAACTGCACTCCCTGGCAGGTGGCGCGCCACTCGAGGACGGCCAGCGAGATCGCCGAGGCACTGCTGCCCTCCGCGACGAGGCAGGGCGGCGGTGAGTACGCGGCGGTGGCGGGCGGCTTGGTGAAGGTGAACCCGAAGGAGCTGGAGAGCAGGAGCGTGGAGCACGGGCCGGAGCTGCCCGGTGGCGGCCGAAGCGGCCGGTCCACCTCGAAGAAGGTGGTCGGCCGCGACGCGTCGGCCGGGGACGACGGCGTGCCAGCATCGAGCTCGGCCGTGTCGGCTGGGGATACCCGTAGCTTCCGAGGTGAGGCGACGGTGGCCGGGATCAAGGAGAGGAGCATGGCAAGGTGAACGAATGACACGGCCATGGTTTCTAGAGTAAAGGCAGTCTAAGACGCGCGGCAGCGCGGCTCTGGAGTTCGTCTTAAAAGGAGGATTAGGTGGCGAAGCACTGAAACAGAGCACTCTTTGCAACAGGTCAACTTTTAGAATACCTGTAGAGTATCCTCAAAGCAGCTTCGACTTTACTGGCCCCAGTTCGCTTCTCTTATAATCTATCTTTTTTAGTTTATTTTTTTAATCAGAACAGTGTTTTTCTCTCACAACAAATTAGCCGAAACAATATTTCAACTTGTTTTTTTAGTTTGTTTTCAACTTTAGAAGATGTTTCCTTATATACTCGTTTAATAGGGTTTTCACTATAAAGCCGGTAGCCCTTCCAAAAAAAAAGGCCTTGGATTGCAATCAAAGTTCCATAGTGCTAGTTAACTGATTGCCTGTTCAAAGTTGGTTTGCTTGGCTGGAGGATTAAGTGCAGCGGATTGGGATGGCACACCTACAAGGCGAGTTGCTTGGCATGCTGCAACAAGCCGTGGCACGGGACCTTGTTTCTGTATGGTGGTGAGGTGTGTGCTCTTGTTTCTATCTGTTTCTGTTCTACTCCTTGGATGCCAGGCCTCAGCAAGTCTCCACCAGTTCGTCGAAGGAGCTAAACTCTAAAAGATACTGTAGTTGCTAAATTTCAGGTGCCTAAATATTTAGATAATTTCAGATGATAATCTTATACAACAAGATAGTACTATTACAAGAATAACTCGCAAGCCGTAATTCATATTTTTTTTCCTATAGTCACATGCAATGATAAAAATCACATATTATTGAACGAGAACCAAAAATAAAATAAAATAAAATAAAATAAAGGCACACGAGATAGTACAAGAGAAGTGCAAGTTTTAAAGTTTATACCAAACGTTTGCAGAGACCGCGACGACCTGAACATGGTACAGACTTTAAAGCTTTATAAGCTTTCGCTTCATCTGCCTTCCTATGCAATTAGGCAATTAGTGATGAACTTGGCGAAAGGCAAACCGGCAAGTGGCGAAGTAGCAATCGGCCAAACAAGGATTCTTTGTTTTTGTTCACCGAGAGGACAAATCAGGATTCAGAAGTGGACAAGGACAGTAATCACTCAATCGTGCAATTTGTTAGGTTGATCTCCACCAAGTCGGACCAACGGTCAATTTGGGCCCTGATCCGCGCCCTGATTGGGGGCGTCCAACCAAGTCATGGTTGGTGGGCTCCCGTCGCACTGCGCTATATAAAGAGGTGGGGGCTAGCAGCTCACGGTACGAGATTCACCGGTTGCCAAAGCACCCCGCCGACGACACTAACCCTAACCGATCTAAGGGAGCACAGCAGCGGCAGAAAGCGCCGCCACCGTTCGCGTCCACTAGCCGTCGCTCCTGGACCTCGCTGCAACTCCATCGACTCGCGCCGCCACACCTTTGCCATGGCGACCTCGAACTCCAGCGCCAAGCCTGCTGATGGTCAGTAAAACCTTCCCACTCTCATCCTCTCTCTCTCTCTCTTTTTTTTAGTTCATGTTCTAGGATGCTTTATCCTAAATGTAAGAACACCACCCACTAGATCCACTGTTAGTCGATCCTAAGTCTTAACAATGGTATCAGTGTCCTAATCTAGGCGTAGATCTAGGTTTTGGGGTAGAAAAGAAGGAGAAATTAGAAGAAGATGAATAGTTTTTCAGATCCGAAACCCTAACCCTAAAGAACATGGACGGAGAGGGAGGGGGACTCACCAGGGCTCCTCTGCCGCCGTCGCGCGGGAAGAGACCCACCGTCGCGCAGGCAGAACGGGACGAGCCGCCGCTCGACGCTGGGTCGCCGGCGCGCGAGCTCAAGGTGCCGACGCGAGGCCACTCAATGGCGGTGCGCTCATCCACTGGGGAGCGCGCGCTCCGGCGAGGGGGCCCGCGTACTCCTCCTTCGGCTACCTTGCGCGGCCGTCGTTTCCGTCGTCTTCGGACACCGCCGGCGAGAGAGAAGAAAGGGGGGGGAAGTGAAATGTGTTAGGGTTTGGGGACGGATGGCCGGCGGCTGGGTTTTGTTCCACCGAGAACAACGCCTAGCCGTTCGATGAGATGGACGGCTGAGAACAGTCAGGCCGAATGCGCCCAGGCAGGAAGGGGATTTCCTGGCCCAGGCCTAGGTTATGGCCTGGGACACGGAGCGCGGCGCTATGCCGCGGCGTTTAGCTGAGCCACCGCCGCTGCCTCGTTCTGGGCCGCGGGATGGTTTTTTCCGAGCCAGGCCGAATGAGTGGCAGAGAACTATTTTAAGTTTTATTATTTTTTAGAAGCAGTTTTGTTGAATTGTATTAAGTTTTGATGTTTAATCTCTGCTCAAATTTGAACCAACGGGAGAATTTGTTCAAAGAGTAGTTAAGTCCATAGAAATGCTTCTGGTAATATCATTTTAAGATTATTTTTTAATGTTTCCGCTACAAAGTTGATGTTTATTATCTTCTAATTAAATTCGAACCAACGTGAGGATTTAATTTTGAAGAGTAGTTATAGTATTCAGTAAATTATGATATTGTTATTTTTCTGACCAACGTTGATAATAGCAATATTTTTTTTTTCTCATGAGTTTTTCCATGCATTAGTTCTATTTCTACCCAACGGTGATGTAGAATTAATGTATAAGCATATTGTATGTTTTAATTTTGACCAACGTTAAATTACGGCATGCAATTATTATTTCAACTGTTTCTCACTTTCTCTGATGTTGTTTCAGGCTACAACCCAATGACGTTTATCTCATCCATTCTGCCTCTCAATGGAAGCAACTATAACGTATGGCGAGAGAAGCTTGAGATAGCACTTGCGCTATCCGATAATGATCTAGCACTTATCTCTCTGTGTCCCACTGAGGCAGTGGACCTGGTGAGGGAAGCAAATGATACCGATGCAACTTTCGCTACTCGACAGCGTGACCATGCAGAAGTGAGAATGAAGTACGATCTTGATTGTGTGAAGTGGCATAGTTCAAACCGCAAGTGTTTGATGGTGATAAAGGGCTCCTTTGAGGATTCAATAAGGGGTTCGATCCCAGAATGTACCACCGCCACTGAGTATCTCAAGAAGGTGGAGAGTCAGTTCACTGGATCTTCAAAGGCTTATGCAAGCACTCTTATTAAGAAGTTAGTAAATGAGAAATACTCTGGTGGAGGTATTAGAGAGCACATATTGAAGATGAGTAACACGGCATCCAAGCTCAAGCCAATGGACTTGGGGCTCAAGGATGAGTTCCTAATTCATTTGGTTTTTGCATCTTTGCCCAAAGAGTATGAGACTTTTATTATTAATTATAACTTACAGCCAGATAAGTGGGACATTGAGAAGCTCATTGCCATGTGTGTGTAAGAAGAGGAGAGGCTTAAGAGCTCACATCGTGACTCTATCAACCATGTGAAGGAAAATAAAAAGAACTTTAACAACAAGAATGCTAAACCACAAGAGAAACCTTAGTGGGACAATAGCTCCTCTTCTAAGTCACAAGGAAAGGCCCCTCAGAAAGATCACCATCAGAAATCCAACTATGGTCAAGTGGACAAGGACACGTGCAGATGGTGCCACAAGACTGGACACTACCAGAAAGATTATCTAGAGTTCCTGAAGCACCTAATCAGAAAAGGTGAGGACATTATTATATTTATAGATGAGTCCTTGTATTTAAGTTATCCAAAATCTACTTGGTGGATTGATTCAGGTGCAACTATTTATGTTGCAAATTCATTACAGGGATTCCATATGAGGAGGACCCTACAAAAGGGAAGAAAGACACATTAAGGTAGCAAATAGAGTCAAAGCTGAAGTTGAAGCCATTTGAGACCTCCCATTAGAATTAAATGATGGCTTTGTAGTTAAGCTTACAGATGTCCTTTATGTACCCTCTTTGCGTAGAAACTTAATAAGTGCCAGATTAAAAAAACTTAATAAGTGTCTCATGTTTAGACGATGATGGATATGATTGCCATTTTGGTAATGGCCAATGTAAGATAATGTTTAATCATAAGTGTGTTGGTCTTGCCTTCCGACAAGACGAGCTTTATTTGTTATCATTTTCTGAGAATGTGAATGTTGTGAGCACTGAGAATGAGAATGCCTCCTCGTCTATGAATGCTAGAAATAAGCAGAAGAGAGTTCATGATGTATCATCAAAATTATGGCACTATCGTTTAGGCCATATTTCAAGGGGGAGAATAGAACGATTGATTAAGAAATCAATTCTTCCGCCACTGGAATTTTCAGACTTAGAACAATGTATTGATTGCATTAAAGGAAAGTATGTTAAGAAAATAAAGAAAGACGCCAAACGAAGTGTACGAATTTTAGAAATAATTCACACAGATATCTGTGGTCCTTTTTTTGTGAAAGTGTGGATGATTATAATTTATTTATAACATTCACAGATGATTATTCTCATTATGGCTATATTTATCCAATTAAAGAAAGATCAAAAGCATTGAATAAATTTAAGATATTTAAGGCTAAAGTAGAAAATCAGCATAATTTAAAGATTAAGATAGTAAGATTCGACCGTGAGGGGAGTACTATGGTCGACATACCCCATATGGCCAAGTTCCTGGACCTTTTGCAAAGTTCTTACAGGAAAATGGTATAGTTGACCAGTACTCTACACCGGGTGAGCCTCAACAGAATGGAGTAGCTAAAAGACACAACCATACCTTAATGGATATGGTGAGAAGTATGATAAGTTACACAACTTTACCGATAAGTTTGTGGATGGAGGCGTTAAAAACCGCCATTCATATTCTCAATCGAGTACCAAGCAAGTCGGTGCCCAAAACACCATATGAGTATTGGACAGGAAAGGAACCCTCACTTAACCATTCATGTGTGTGGGGCTGTCTAGCTGAGGCTAAAGTATTTAACCCAAACATTGAAAAGCTAGACTCCAATACAGTCAGTTGCCATTTCATTGGCTACCCAGATAAGTTAAAAGGTTATCGTTTCTACTGTCCTAATAAACATACAAAGTTTGTAGAA